GAAACTACCACAGCTAGTAAAACCCTTTTTGTAAATATAGTCGTAATATTCTTTTCCCGACACGCTGAGAGAGCTTTGTTTTTGAATGTTATGCCAGATTCATTCAGTCTGACCAGATTCATAAATGTCACGAACTTGTATATTTCAAAAATATACCAGAATTCAGAAAGACCGATTATTCTTTCCTTGATTCAGTTGATTGATTTAGTTGATTGATTTAAAAAACTATAAGTATAATAGAACATTCCATGTGTTTCCATTGCCCCTATATAGGGCTAGAATGTTTATCAATATGTTCTATTTTTCTGTGGCGACGGCATATTAACAAAATACGACACAAAAATGTACATTCCGTCATTCGAATTTATGCCGACATATCAGAATGTTATTTATGAAGTTTGAATTGAATTTACTTAACGCGAAATAAATACTAAAATAGGAATTTTCTATGCTGGGTTAGTAAAAGAAAAAGCATAATTTTAATTGTATGTAATTTCGATGAATACTATAAAAAAATTATACGCATTGTTTATATAAATTAGCTAACATTTTCACATTTATTACGATAGTAGCGACGTTTGTTTTAGCCACGTAACAAAATAAACTATAAGCATTCTGATCAGTTTTTAACAAAAATATCAATTTTATAAACAATCGAATTTCAATATTTTTCTTTGAAAAAAATATGTTCGTGAGCTCCATAGCTGAGAATAAATTTCAAAAGTTTGTGAATTAAAATTCACAAATTTGATATTTTTGTTAAATAACTGATCAGAATGCTTATAGTTTATTTTGTTACATGGCTAAAACAAACGTCGCTACTATCGTAATAAATGTGAAAATGTTAGCTAATTTATATGTCTTATATAAACAATGCGTATAATTTTTTTTATACCGGGTGGCGCAAAAAAAAGTACAACTGTTTGATTACTTGTAACTCAGAAACAATAAGCAGTAGAACCATAAATCGAGTTTAATTGCATCCAGCGATATCTAACTTAAATTTTGGTATATTTGACAGGCATATTCGTCCAAGATTAACTGAGATATACTAAGAGTTTAAACTTTTGTTAACAATTTTGAAACAGTCACAAATTAGCTAAAAATCAGTTTAATAGGCCGTTTTTAGCTAATTTGTGACCGTTTCAAATTTGCTAACAAAAGTTTAAACACTCATATCTCAGTCAATCTTGGACGAAAATGCCTGTCGAGTATACCAAAATTTAAGTTAGACATCGCTGGATGCAATGAAACTCGATTTTGGGTTCTACTGCTTATGGTCTTTGAGCTATATGTAATCAAACAGTTATACTTTTTTTTGCGCCACCCGGTAGTATTCATCGAAATTACATACAATTAAAATTATGCATTTTCTTTTACTAACCCAGCATATAAAATTCCTATATTTATTAGTATTTATTTCGCGTTAAGTAAATTCAATTCAAACTTCATAAATAACATTCTGAAATGTCGGTCATAATCCGTGTTTACACTAGCTTTGGACTAGATTTTTGGGCAATTGATAAAACTAGAATAGTGAAGCGAATAGTGCGAATAGTCGACGAATAGTGCGAATAGTCCGCGAATAGTCGACGAATAGTGCGAATAGTCCGCGAATAGTCGACGAATAGTGCGAATAGTCCGCGAATAGTCGACGAATAGTGCGAATAGTTCGCGAATAGTCGACGAATAGTGCGAATAGTCCGCGAATAGTCGACGAATAGTACGAATAGTCCGCGAATAGTCGACGAATAGTACGAATAGTCGACGAATAGTGCAATAGAGACTTTGCAAGGCTTTCCACCGTGCTGCAGAACTAAATTTACCGGGGCGGGGGGGGGGAGGCTCTATTGACAAACATGAAATCGTGAAAACATTCGTTGATGTCAATGACGTCATACGTAATCGGTAAAAATTACGGGACCACTGAGTTTTAACAAATATTTAACAGGAAGTAGAATGACAATCAGTGGCGCCGTGGGACCCATGTTTTTTTTTGGGGGGGGGCAAGGGCAGTACTTTTCCGACAAACCGAAAAATTTTTCCGACAAACCAAAAAGTTTTCCAGACGACAACATTTTAAATCTTCACCCCCCCCGTCGACAACTTTGACAATTTCCGACAGTCTTGACAATTTTCCGGCAATTTCCGGCAGCATTGGCAATTTTACGACGGGTGTCAACAATAGGGGAGGGCCATGCCCCCCCCCCCTGCTCCCCCCGGCCACGGCGCCACTGATGACAATCACTAGACGTATGACGTCATTGACGTACGTCGACGAATGTTTTCACGATTTCATGTTTGTCAACAGAGCCCCCCCCCGGTAAATTTAGTTCTACAGCACTGCTAGAAAGCCTTGCAAAGTCTCTATTGCACTATTCGCACTATTCGTCGACTATTCGCGGACTATTCGCACTATTCGTCGACTATTCGCGGACTATTCGTACTATTCGTCGACTATTCGACTATTCGTACTATTCGTCGACTATTCGCTTCGACTATTCGTCGACTATTCCTCACTATTCGCTTCACTATTCTAGTTTTATCAATTGCCAGATTTTTGTAGTGTAAACGCACTTTGGGCCTGGCCTAGGTTAGGAAATGTGGAACACCTGTTCTGATGGCCCAGATTTCCTGACCTAGTCGACTATTCGCGGACTATTCGCACTATTCGTCGACTATTCGTACTATTCGTCGACTATTCGCACTATTCGCTTCACTATTCTAGTTTTATCAATTGCCAGATTTTTGTAGTGTAAACGCACTTTGGGCCTGGCCTAGGTTAGGAAATGTGGAACACCTGTTCTGATGGCCCAGATTTCCTGACCTAGGCCAGGTCGAAGTGCGTTTACACTACAAAAATCTACTCCAAAGCCAGCCTAGGCTCGTAGTGTAAACACGGCTATATTAAATTCGAATGTACATTTTTGTGTCGTATTTTGTTATGCCGTCGCCACAGAAAAATAGAACATATTGATAAAAATTCTAGGCCTAGGGGGGATGGAAACACGTGGAATGTTCTATTATACTTATAGTTTTTTTAAATCAATCAACTAAATCAATCAACTGAATCAGGGAAAGAATAATCTGTCTTTCTGAATTCTGGTATATTTTTGAAATATACAAGTTCGTGACATTTATGAATCTGGTCAGACTGAATGAATGTGGCATAACATTCAAAAACAAAGCTCTCTCAGCGCGTGTTAGGAAAAGAATATTACGACTATATTTACAAAAAGGGTTTTACTATATAGCTGTGGTAGTTTCTTTCATCTGAGATATGTTAGTCAGAAAGAAATTGTTTACTTTTAGCGCCTCTCAAGAAATATGTTAATTAGCTATAAATTATGCAAAAATCATTGATTATGGGCTCCAGAAAATCGTAACTCGCGCCAAATACAGATTGATACCCGCAGGTTTTTCTTCAGATCTTCTGAAACTAAGTATAAATCATTACAGCCAAGCACATTTCAGCGTAATTTTAGGTCCCCATTTGGAGATCTCAGGCTTCGATTTTAGTGTAATTTTGTAGACCGAACAAGATGCAAAAACCGGTGTGCCGTCAAGTTGCTGTCGTTTATTCACGATTTGTTCAAATGCTCTTATTTTTTGGAACAGGAAACCTGAATTGTATCTTAACTTGTTGATCTAATTGAAATTTGGAAATGGTCAGGCGTTTTGACTCAGCGCGGCTCTACAATTTACCGAAATTCAACCTTCGATTTTGCTTGAAAATAGCTCTGCACGGGTAAATTGAGTTTCGGCGTCTAGCGAAGCCATAAAAAAGAATTTTCAAAAAATAAATTTATTTTGGACACTTGTATACCAATGCCTTTCAACACACAAAAAATAAAGGAAATCTATTTTCCGAAGTCAAAGTCATCGGACCGCTCTTAGCGGGACTGCCACTTAACTTTTCAAACTGCAAAAATGTGATTGGGTAAGATTTATTGTTAGACGTTGTGTGATTAAATCGATTTATAGTTGTGTTGTCAGAAAAATTTAAGAAAATTGGACAGTTACTTGTTCATAATAATTTGAGGGGTGATATGTATTAATCAACCCCATTTAGAGGTTGCTTTTTATTAATCAACCTCATGAAGATATTAATGAGGTTGATTAATTCATATCGACCCTGTATTTGGGTAGGTTATTGTAGTGATGTCATAGACTTGAGTGACAGATATAGTCATGTGACCTGAGATCACATGGAATCGTTAGGATTAGTATTTTGTACCGTGCAGTAGGTATTAGAAATAAACTATGTATAAGAGAATACAAATATTATATTGGCGACGAGGATATAAAGTGAGCAATATGGCAGATGAAGAAACACCACAGCCGGCACAACAAGCTGTACAAATTGTACAAGTTGTACAAATGGCACAATCGGTCACAATACAGCCTATGCCTGAATTTCGTCCCGATGCCAAAGTAGGGGCAAGCCTCGCTACTAGATGGAAAAACTGGCAAGCAGATTTTGAAATGTTCATTATAGCCAGT